ACCTGAATGGCTCTCAACAGACCGATGTCAGTGAGTGAATATGGGCAAAAGTATAGGAATGTACAGACAACCAGTGTAGATACATGGAGATAGAAAGGGGAAATAGAAACAGTCACTCTTAGAAAATATCTGATTGAAAAGTAAAGAAAAATTATTGCAGTTCATAGCAAATCATAATAATTGCACTTAAAAGAGGTCAGTGGGTAATAACTGTTATTTCATTTAAGTTTTGCTGTCTATTGTATTCCTTTATCATCATTTAAAACAAGTAGTTAACACAGATATTAGCAAAGCTAAGATTTTAAAAATAATAACAAGGATAATAACAGTTAACATTTATTCAATGTCAATGGTTCATCAGGTACTACACTAAGAATTCTACATGGAAGATATTATTTAGTCTAGAACTAGTCTAATAACTCTATGAGGTAGGTAGGTAATATTTCCACTCAACACATGGGTAAACTGTGGCACACAGAGGTACAACATCTTGCCCAAGACTGCTCAGCCAGAAAGTCGTGGTGGCTCTGACTCCAAAAGAAGGTGTTCTTACCTATTTATACAACACAAGAGTAGGAATATTATCTCACACAGGGTGAGTCACTTAAGTTAATATTTGAGGCAACCATTCTGTAAGGTCGAATGTCTTGAAAATTCACTTAATTGACCATAATGCACATTATACAGTATATATACACATGTTTTATTTAAATCTTATAGTAATATATATGCACTATATATCTCAGACATAATAATGGGTGGTAAATAATAAACTGTATATATGCAAAATACAATTTTAGAGTAGAACCACTGAAATGAGATGCTTATACTTTAAGGAGCACGCAGGAGCCGAGACGGAAGAAATAGCATTTTCACGTCCCCCTCCAAGGTTTGCTTTGAGACACATGCTCCTTGCTTAGAATGGAGTTGGAGAATTACCCATACACTTAATTTGTAATCTCTAAATGTGTTATTTTCTGCTGAGGGCAGAGTCGAATTTGCATAAATAAACTATATACAGTGTCGCTCTGCTGTTTGAAGACTCAATTGTGTTTTCCCCTCTCCTCTCTCAATTATTCATGCCTGAGCCATCCTGAGCTCTGAGCACATTCCCACCAATACACACCACAATAAGCAGCCTCAACAGAGCAGGCCTTGTAAATCCAAAATCTCATTAATACCAAAGCAGAGAGGTGACAGTCACCCCGTTTTAACTTTCAGAGAGAAAAATCAGGTAGCCCCAACCAAAATAAAACAAAAAGAAAAAAGATCATCTCCTCGCTGTATAAGTCTTATTTCTAAAAGTTCCTGTTTTTCCTGATTTAACATTTGAACAATTTACTTTTGTATGAAACCACCCAATTACACCCCTGGAGCCAAGCGAAGGTCAAATCCCTTTACACCCAGTAGTCTTGACAACCAACATTCCACTTAACAACAAGATTTCCAAATCCCAGACACAGGCTCTCTTACTGGAAACATTTCCTCTGTAAGTAACAGAATGAAGTGATCACACGCACACAAAAAAGAGCTGGGGACAGGCTCTCTGGGAGTTTGCTGCTTGTGGCTTGACCTGAATGTCAGACACCTGGGGGTCCCCTTAGCGAAGGTTGGTGACCTTCTCCCCTGCATTGCACTTCTGTTCCCTACTGCTCGTCACCTCTAAATGGAACGCCTCTTTCTTTTCTAGAGGAAAGGGGCTAAAATACCAGACTGTGTGTGATGTGCCATCTCTTGGTTGCTAGGACTGAGGCCATTAAAATGGCAGGCATTAAAAGACTGCACCTCAGTATCCAGCTACAAAGCCTCAAGGTCACTGCATTCCACAGCTTCCCATCGGCCTTTCATTCCTGGCCTCAGAGCTTCAATATCCTGGCGAGATCCCCTCGCATTATATTTCATGGGGCTTAAATGCAAGCTCTCCCAGCAAGCCTGAGAGTATAATGGGAGTTTTAATACATTCCTTTTACCTAAGGCTGGGATCTATTTCAAAAAGTTACCCAATAGGTTTTCTTTCAGGTGAGCTCATTGCTGAGACATTCCAAAATGACATTAAAAAATAAATCCTCTGATGACTATATTAATACAGTACCTGGGACACTGAGAGTTATGCCTGAAAATGTCTTAGATATCTATAAATAAACCTTAAAAAAAAATAACCCAGCAGGAGGAATGTGAGGAGCTAATGGAATCCAAAAGACCTCATTGCTACCCCCTTAGAGTTGAAATCCACTCTGGGCCGACGATTACAGCAGATATAAAAAGCCAGCCACAGGCTGGAGCTGTGTTAGAAAATACTGGGGCAATGGAATATTAATCTCTTTTTCTCAAAAAACCCCCCCACAAACTCCAGTCCTTGAGAGACTGACCTCCTTTGCTTTAAAAAGGTGCCCTCATTAAACATGTATGAGGTTAAATTCGGACAACATATAACCACCTTAAAGATCGGCCAAATGTCCCTTCTTGACTTCAGGTGGAAGAGACTGCAGAGACAAGAGTGAGTGGGATGGACTGTAGAGAATGACTTCGGCTTTCTAAAGAGGCAGAACACGTGTTAGGACCACAGTACCCTTTTTGAGAACATATTTTGGTATTGCCTTTTATGCCTCAGCCCAACTTACTTGAGGTTCTGTTTCTCCAAGCAGTGCACCCTGCTTTCTTGGCCTGTCAGATCTGGCTGTATTAAGTGTCACAGTATTACCAAGATACTGGAGGACTGGTAAGCATTTTGGTCACGCAAGGGAATCAGCCAAGGGATAAGTCAGGTCTCAGACACCCTTGTTTAAGCCTCAGCTGGTGGAATAAAAAACTCATTCAGAATTTGAAATATTTTTACTGCATTTGGAGTGGAGAATGAAGTGTCCAAGTTTTCGTAAACAAACAGTCTGATACAAATACAGCACTGTTGTAGGTCAAAGCAGATGTGATGAACAGAACTTAGGAAGACATGTATGTATATTTGTTTTATTTTTTTCTACATTCACTTTAGCCTTTAGCAGCAACATTAACACTGCCCCGTGGGCAAAGCTAACAGGACTCTAGTGGCTCCTAACTTGGGTTAGAGGCACTCTTGGGTGTCTTTGGATAAAATTCAAGGGGTCTATGACCTCGAATGAGAAAAAAACTGTATCTTTATTTTCATCAGTCTTTAACTAAAAGTTACTGTTTCTTTCAATTATGAATATAGAAAAATCCCTATAATATTAGTATTACCTATAATTTTGTCACCAATAGAGATCATGTTTTCATATCAATAAGTTATATATCTGTAATGTGTAAATTATAAGCATATATCATCTATCTATCTATCTACTAACCTATCTGATTCCATTTGAAATCCAGATTGTTTTATTCTACTCATTTAAAAACATGCAAAGAAGAGACTCATAGCTTTCACCAGGTTGCCCAAAGCATTCATGGAGCCTCTGTAGTACTAGAAGAAAACTTGCTAGCAGAATGGGGCAGGTCTTGTCCTAAGGCTCTATCTGCACTACTAATATTCTCGGCTTGGGCCAAATACAGAGATGACAGAGCAGTTGGCAAAAAAGTTAAAAGGACTGAGTTCTGATCCCTAACTTATTGTACGTGCTTTGGCACAACACTCACCCTTCTTGCTACTCATAAGGGCACAGCTATTCAAGCTCACAATGCGCCAGGCACACTGCACAGCATCTTCAAGCATTACTCCATGTGATCCTTACAGCTGCCTTCTGCGGGTAGTATTATTATATCCATTTTACAGATAAAAAAAATTAAATCTTAGAACTATTAAGGAACCTGTCCACAGTCCCACCCAGCTGGTAAACAATATAAATGGGAAATGTCTCTAGGGCCATTAGAATTCATACTGTAGCAAACTGGGATAACAATTCCTACCCTATTTATCCATAGGATTTTTGTGAAGCTCAAATGAATGACAGATACATAATACATTAGATTTAAACAGTACTTTCCACTTTCTAAAATAAGTTACCAATATTTTTAAATTATTAGCATTATTGAGATTTTCAAGTACAGCAAAGTGTTGAGTTTGGGAAATTATCAGCAGAAGAATGATTCTATCAAGAGGACTTTTAAATTTCATTTCATGTTACATGGCAATATAATTATTACAAAGAATGACTGATGGACTGTAAAAGGATTTATATTAATGCTAGATAAGGATCAAGTCAAATTAATACTTGCTTGTTGGTGTTCTGCTGCAGGGCTTGAAAAGTTTATTCTCTTAAGTTAATGAAACGAGCACCTTTCAATCTGGCTGTAGGCTTTTAACTTATTTAGTAACTTCTTCCCCCTCTGAGGCTGTAGTGAAAGGGAAAATTCAGTCCATTTCTGGCCAGATAATAACAAGTCCCAGACTGGAGCAGCCTAAGAAGACATGGCTTCATGAGCTGCACAGCATTATCGCCTCCCTGCTCCTTTCTCAGTAGCTTTATAGAATTTTTTTGCGCAGAGCAGACAGACTTCTCCAGGGGCATTCTCACCCTGACCCCTCAGGGCCCACTTACCTGACTAACAATGAAGAAGATGACAGTCATGGCAGCACAGGCCAAGGTGATAAGCATGAGGAACTTGAACCTGAAAATTAGCCCCTGTTAGGTAAGAGAAAGACTCATTTAACATTCCAGCAGCTACCATCAATCCTTTTCTCAATATATAAATCTATAAAAAGCTAATTTAAAAAATCTATTAAACCAAGTCCCTAAGAGTGATGGTAAAATAATTTCACATAGTAACATTTCTCCTGCAGAGGTGAATGTGGCTGAAAAATGTATCCAGCCAAATATTTCCTATATTCTTATCTCTCATGAAACAGCAATACCAGAGCCTGGGAAATTATATTCACAGCACGTCTTGGGGCTGCTAATTTCCCTGCTAAGCTGGTTATGCTTCTCTGCAAGGGTTCAAAGTTACCAAATCCAAGTTTTCTGCGGTTGTAATAAAATTCTGCTCCAGTGAACAAAAAGAAATATGCATATTAATCAACATGAAGTGGATTTGGTTGAGATTTTTCATGTGTCACTCCAGCTCTAGAGACAAGCAAAGCTGGAGAAAGTACCCGGGGTTTCCTGAGGGCAGAACTGAAGGGAACCTGTGTTTTGGGGAGGGACACGTCTTATTCAGGGGCTCTCATCTGCAGATCCACTGCACATAGAAACACTGGGGTTCTGCGGTTTCTGTTTTTCTTCTCACAGAGGAATTAGGCCCATGTCTCTAAGGACAGCCACTTCAGCATGAGCCCAAGAGATCCTTGAGAAATTAAGAATGTGTTGCTTGTATTCGAGAGTTAAGGATGTTGAGTGCTTTTCTTGAATTAGGCACATAATGTATGAACAGAGATTACTGAACTCTATCTGAGCACCTGGCTGGATATTTCAAAGCGAGATGTGGGCTCCTGGAGTCTGGAAATCAGATCACCTGGGATGAACCCCAGTCTTAACACTGTTTCTCTGCAAGGAAACCTAAACTAATGCCTCACCCCAAACCAAATCCCATTTCTACCACACTCAAATCTCCCATCTAGTATGCACCCACATTCCATCCCAAAGCTGAAGAACCTGCTGGGCAAGTTTACTCCTCACTGGGGACAGAAAGACATTTATCCCACAGAAAACTCCAAGAGTTAGACAGGCTCGCTAAATGCTTCTCAGAATAGCCTCTTATTTTGCCCAGGGACTCTATAGTACATGTGAATCTCTCAATCTCTCTTTGAAATAAAAACTTCCACTCTCCAGGTGTAGGGGTGTGTGTGCCTGTGTGTTTACACATCAAGCAGGAGATGCTAAGTACCAGTTCCTGAATGACCCAAGAGATTTGCTTACCTCATAGTGCAGCCGCCGGACTTTGCTCATGGCTGGCAGGCTAGACTGCTTTCCGTTGATGTTTCGAAACACCTGAAATACCATGAAGCACAGAAACAGGAAGTAGAGACAGAGGCAGATCCCAGCCACAATGATGAAGGCCATCTGACAATGTCCAGTAAAGGAAATGGCAGGCTAGCCAAGGACACAAGCACTTCTCCCCAGCTCGGTTGGCAATACTCTTTATCTCCAAATAGTTAGGCAATTTTCAGAAAGATAAAAGATGAAAACCTAGCATTTTAATGCCAGTGATAGAGGTTTTCTTTTTTTAACCCCTACTGATGGAGGTTTTCTGACACAAAAGTACCACAGCAAGGAACGTTCCAAATTGTTTCTAAGCCAAATAAGAAGAGAAATGAAGATTTGCTTGTTAAACATGCAGATTCAAGGGCCCACCCTAGACCTAAAACACAGAATCAGAATCTGCTTTTTAACAAGGTCCTCAGGAGATGCATATGCAGAATAAATTTGAAAAGCACTAAAATATTGGATGTTGTTTGCAAAATAGTGACCAGGGGGAAAGCTGCATTAAAATCACCAGGAGTAAAAATACAGGTGGTCCAGGTCTCTCATCACAGATATATGGAATCAGATTTTCTAAGGGCTAAGAATCCAATTATAACCATCTTTGAGAACCAGTGGGCTATACTCTGGATTTTTATACGAATATTAAGATAGCTTAGAATCAGGAGGCGTGGGGTGGAAGTGGGTACGGTAGCAGCAGGTGCTAAGGGACACTGACCATGGGATTAAAGCAAAACCAGGAATGGAGTTCTGTTTGTAATCTTCTGTTCACCACAATAAAAACCTTGTTAAATGGACCAGGGAGCAGAAAAACAGATGGCCAAGGTAGGAGGAGTTGAGGATGGTGGCAATATACTTTGAGACCAATCAGGGTGACTTTGAGACCGATCTTTAAAGCTCAAGCTGAGAATCACCAAGGCTTTGGGTAGAGTGAGGTGGCTTGGGAGACAGCAGTCCTGATTCCAACTCCTTTCTGCTACAACTCTACCTCAAGCTGCATCGTTTAAAATATTTTAACAAGTGTGAACTCAGCATGCACATTTCATTAAATAACATATTTAATGAAATTTTCCTTCTTTCCTAAAATCAACAGTACCTTGGATTGAAGGGAATATAGTTATTTGCTGAAGGAGTTGAAATTTTATTTGTCAAAAGGGTTGGAGTAGACTTAGCATATAAATATTCCCTGTGTGGTGCAGCTAACATTTTTTGGTTGGGGGAACAGGGGAGCAGGAAGCTCAACTCTCATCTTTAAGATATGACACTACTGATTTAGTTTGCTCGCAACGTTCTTGTGATACTAAGAAGACAATATAAACATCATGGCCAGACATAGCGTATTTACCAACACATGACAAGATATTATCCAACAAGAAAGAATACAACTCAAGCTTTTCTCCCTTCTACAGGGAGAGTCTCAAAAGCATTTAACATATTATTCAGGAAGATAAAATATTTAAATCCAGCATCCTAAAAGGGATAAGCTAAGACTGTCACTTCTGCTTCATTAAGATGTCTCAGACAGAGTTTATGCCAACCAACCAGAAGCCCTGGTGATGCCTCTGGAACTAATCACCTTAGCCTTATCTCCACTTGGTCTCGGAAATGAACAGCAGCAGCATGGTATGCCAGCTCACCAGGGTCGCTGTAAGAAGTCTCACACACAGGCGACTTCAGAAACAGTCTCTCCCACAGGGACCCAGAGAGGAAACTCCAGGGCTCCAGGGAAAAGCTAGTCATGCTTCAGTCTGCAGTAAACAAGTGGAGAATAGATAGGGCACAATCAGAACAGCAATTCTGATCCCTCTGCCGTGGGGACGTGGTGCAATCTTCTTATTTTGCTTGCTCTCACCCAGGCTTGAAAGCAAGCATTAATTCCTCTCATTATTTGCTTTAATTGTGCTGTTATCATTGGTCTAAGGATCAAAGCTCTGGCTGAGCACATATGGAGAACATCATTAGAAAATGATCTTGGGGACCGGGCAGCTGGGGGAAGAAATAAAACTCTGAGCTCATCCAGGAAGGATACAGCCAGCTCTGTTCCAACATCTGTAGTCCAGATACTGTAGAAGGGATTCGTGAGTTGTACCCCTCTACAAAGAGAAACAAGATGGAAAGGCAAGACACAATTAGTACAGAGGCAATGGGCAAATTTCCTTTTTACATATTCTTAGCTTTTCAGTCAGAGTGGTAGGGGCTGTATTTAGACCAAGAAAAGTCACAGAGGACTTAAAGACAAATGGAGTTTGAAGTATATGATCAGTCCAAATATTTTGCATCTTTAAAGCTTTGCCTTTGACTTAATCCCAAGCCTTATCTGAGGATGTGACCATGTCCAACACTTTTATTCGACAGACCTCTAACCACCCTTCTCCCTTTTGAATACTCTTCCTAAAGAGCTAGGAGTGGACATGGTGACAGGCATTTCAGCCTAGAGACCCACAGGCATCTGCTCACCTCTCACACATGTCAAATATGAAGAGGCAGAAAGAGCCAACAGCAATTGGTCCAACTTGCTTCCAATACCCTGCTATGTGATTCCGCTCATGCTGATCCTGATGAAAGCCAAATTGAGACATGAAATAAAGACAAGGAGAGCAAAGCGATTCTATAGATGAGTCAGTCATTCAAACAATCCTTGACGACAACTTATTGTATATTGAGCATCACGCTAGACTCTAGGCATACGAAAATGAGTAAGACCAAAATCTTTGTTCCTAAGAAACTCACTTCTGTCAGCCCGTCCTTGAGGGCTCTCATGGTAATAACAACAGGATGCTATAGGAACACTAAGAAAAGCTTTGTAGTTTAGTGGGCCACAAAATCACTCATTCAGAATTAAATTCCTATGTGATTTATCATTTGTGTTTGTTAAGGTGGGGTGGTCCCCATAAGATAAAGACTGTAAGGCATTAAAATATGTCAAGTGTAGGAGGTCTCTTATGGTTAGGAAAACAGATACATGTTTTCCCTGTTTTTATTAAAAATAAGAATGATTCTTCTTGATGGATATACAAAGACACTAAAAGGCAGAAAATGAAGGAATGTAAAGTGAGAAAATGGAGAAAGGCAAAAGACATATCTTAGCATCCGGGCTGGACCAGGTAGGACAGTCCATACCAGCCTGCTCTGGGCAACCCACCCTGGTAGTCTGTCCTGCTGCTGTATCTGAGTCCCCTCCACTCTCAGTCCCTGCTGCTGATGGTTCATCTCAGTGTGTCACTGCTGGTGGACCCCTCATGTCTACCCCAGCAGTATCCATTCTGGTTGGTCATACGGAAGTTATCTTGGGAAGAAGTGTTTGGTTCTGTATAATGTCCATTATAATTCAGCTGGGGTGGGGAGGAATCATATAGGTGTGAGGTCTGGGCAAATCCTCCTCCTAACTGGGTTCACTGGGACTGTCTGAGTTTGCAGGCTACACTGATTTAGTCTGTAAAATTTGTGCCACACAAAAGAGAGTCTCCATACATATTTTGCAGTTTCCATGTCTTTAGTTTGAAACTAGATGGTCTCCTCTTTACTTGCCAGCTCTCACTGGTCTCCTGGAAGGGCTACAATGCTTCAGAAGCAATGATCAAATGCAAATGAAATTTAAAAACAGTCCACTTGACTATGAAACCCAAGTGCCCGACATGCGGCCCAAGTTCCAGCTGGCATATCATTCTAGCCACAATGTGATGATGGCACCGTTCTTATTTTTAACCATGGTACCTTCAATCCCTCTTGAAATATGATTTGGTGTCTGTGCAAATCAGGAGGTCAGTATTTCAGGGTAATAGGAGTTATTAGGCCACCTGGATAAATTGCCAGCTGGAAAGAACTGGGCCCACATTCTCCAGTGGTTACCTTGGTCCTGGGGACAGGCAGAGCAGAAGCCAAAAGATAAGAAATAATGATCATCATTAACATTTGTGTGTTTACTTTCTGCTACATTATTCACATTTAAATCTCACAAAACCCTATCTATAAATTCCATGTTATAGATGGGGAACCTGAGATTCAGAGTGATTTAAGTCAGTTGACTATGGCCATACAGCTAGTAAGTGGTGAAGGAGGAACTTGAACTGAGGGTCTGACTCCAGAGCTCACTCTTGTAATCACTAATTTATTCTGCCTCGTCCACTGTCCCTTCCCCGGTGGACTCTTACCATCATGTGCTCGCCACAGAAAATAATCCAGAAGGAGAGAAGCATTGCATAGAAGATACCCTGTCGAATATCACCAAACAACAGCATCCAGGTCCAGTCGAACCCAATGGAAAACCATTCCACTGGGATATTGATAAAAGTCATGGAAATTCCAAGGGCAAAGATGACTCTGATGGTGAGAAAATGTCAGGAAAACAACTTTACTCATTTGGGAGGCAGATCTTCAAAAATCAGAAGCCAGTTTGGGGAACTGAGATGTCATTTATTAGTGCTGAAGCCATATGATTAGTTTCCTATCTCTCATAATGAGTTTCTATACAGAAATGCAAAATGTCTTATTCTGTTGGCACCACTGCAGAATAAAGGAGTGTTGCATTAACTTTTCAATATAATTGAACCTAACTTACTTAATCCCCAGGACTTTATTTTGGTACCAACTCAGATTAAGAGCTTCTTACAATGTTTTGCCCTCCCTTGCCTTTTTAATCAGACCTCATTGAATGTAATTATCCTCTCTTACATATCCAGGTTAGCATTAAGAACACTCATTATTACTATGATATCCTCAGAACTATGAATTACATAGGCATATGCACTTCAATAATAAGTGACTCCAAACAATAATAAATACAAATTCTTTTAGCTGCTTTCTTAGTTTTTATTTTGCTTTTCTATCACACAATTAATTGCCACTTCTCTATCAAAATATCATTCAGTCACTGATTTATTCCTACTTCCGTTCATACCAATGAAATACATGTTTGTTAAGCACAGATCATGTGACAGGCATTTATTAGGTCTATAGATAAATAAATAGGACCAGTTCTTTTACTTATAGAGATATATTCAGTGGCTGAGCCAGATAAAGAGAAAGTGTGATAAGCAATGTGATAAAAGTGTACACAGGCTGCTACCAGGACATCTAATTTTGACAGACACAGAAATGGACCTGAGTTGTGAGTCAGGGTTAGGGAGGTGGAAAGCAGAGGGAAAAGCCTGGATGGAGGCAGAGAAGCCTGGAACAGACTGAAGCATTTTGGGGATCTGCATGTAGCAGGAAACAATAGGACATGATACCAGAGAAGCGAGAAGGGCTGAGCTCATGAGGGAACCTGCATACCTCAGCAGAGAATTTGCAATTTATCCTGAAAGAACTGAGGATCTAATAAAAAAAGGTTAAACAATTGAGTGACATGATTCCTTTATTCATTCAAAAAATTCATATTTAATGAGTTCCTACTATGTGCCAGTCACTATTCTAGAAGCCAGGGATATAGTAACAAACAAAACAGACAAGTGAAACTTGCATTCAGATGTGGTGAGAGAAAGGGTATGGAAGGGAAGATAATAAATAAAAAGAGTGAGTATTATGAAGAAAAATAAAGTAAGGTAAGAGAATGGAATGTGATGGGATGCTATTTTATATATGGTGGACAAGGAAAAGCCTCTAAAATAAGAGACTTTAGAGAAAGGACTGAAGGATATGAGGAACTGAGCCTCAGAGGTAGCTTAGAAAGAGTATTTTAGATAGCAAACAGCAAGTTCAAAGACCCTGAGGTGAGAGCATGCCACCAAGGGGACTTGTGGGTTAGGTAGAAAGGATAAGGGATGAGATCAGCATTACAAGGGTCCAGAACATCTAGGGCTATAGGCCAGGGCAAAGGAGATGCAAAGCCGATAGACAGTTTCCAGCAGAGGAGTGACATGATCTGATTTACACTTAAAAAGGAACAATCCGGCTGCTCTGCGAATAGATTATAGGGAGGTAAATGGAAGAAGCAAGGAGAGCAGTTGAGAGGCTATCTCCAATAACCCAAGAGAGAAATGATGGTGGGTTAGATTAGGGCCGTAGCAATGAAAATGGTAAGATTTCTTTGTGCGTTGGATGAGAAGTGTGAAAAAAAGAGAAGTAAAGGATGACTCCTACATGTCTAGCCTAATCAGAGGACACATGGAGTTGACATTTCCTAAGATGGGAATGCCTGGGAGAGGAGTAAGTTTGAAGTGGTAGGAAATCAAGTGTTCTTTGCACATGTTACATTTTTGTGCAAGTGAAGACGTTGAATAAACAGCTGGAACATTTGGGTCCAGAGTTGGGAAAGGCTGGGGTTGATGATTATAAATTAAGAGTTATCATTTAGGTGATTATTCAAATCATGAGACTAGATATCACCAGAGTAATAAGCATAGCTAATAAAGAGAAAAGCTCCAAAGATTTAGCCTTGGCTCTAAAGTTTAAGAGGTTAGAAAGTTGGTTGGAAACAGCAATGGAGATTAAGTAATGGTCAGCAAAGAAGGACAACCACAAGAAAGATGGAGGAGGCTCTGCGAAAAAAAAGCGAGTTATCAATTATGTCAAATGCTGATGATGAGTCAAGAAAAGTGAGGATGGAAAAATGACCACTGTATTTGGAATGTGAAGGTCACCGGTGATCCTGTCAAGAGCAATTTAAGGAGGGGTGAAATGGATTTAAGAAAGAATATATTTCTATATACAGAAAGATATACAGATAAATTTTTTAAGGACTTGTGAAAAAAAAGAAAAAGCAGAAAAATGGTGTGATAGCTTCAGGGGAAGTAGAAAAAGGAAGATTTTATTTAAGAATGGAGGATGGTGTGGAGTGTTTGTACATCAATGGGAATAATCCAGAAAAAAGGGAAAAGTCCATAACATGGAAGAGAAAGGGGATATATCTATAGGAACATCATCTTTCTGGTGGTAAGAGAGGTTGGACTTAGGAGAGAGGCAGTTCAAACACTGTAACAGAGATAAATAACTGACTCAGACCATGGGAACAAGGAGCAAGGACATAATAAAAAGCCAAAAGAGATTAGGATTTAATAATAATTTGCATGGGAAAGCTAGAGGAGAAAAAAGAATCCAAAATGACTCCTGGTCAAATCAACAGCCCAATTAACACACTGACCACTTGAACCAGACCCCAGCAAAACCAGGAGCATGGCAGGCAGATCATGCAACGCTGTGTTCCTTTAGAGTGCTCCAAAATCAGCTCTTACTTTTCCAGAAGCACTGGCGGTCGGGACATCATGGTGATCCTTCTCCAATACCACACCATAATGATGAAGATGCTGGGTGTAAGGAAGGTCTTCATGGCAAACCACACCTTGGTAAAGCCTCCATTTTGGTGGATTCCCTAGAGCGATACCAACAAAATTTTGAAGGTGAATGTATCTTCGTATTATTTTCTACCAGCAAATGCATTTTGGAGAGAGGTGAGGGGAGACCTTGTCTGCTAAACTTTCAAGATCAAGAGCTTTCACATTCACGGCATGTATTTTCCCCAAACTTCCCCAGCTCCTTCTCAGGTATTATAGAAATATAAAAGTCATAAAAATGGACCCACTGTATACTAAGGAAATGATTAAGAACATGATCAAAGATTTTTCTGTAAGGCTTTCATTGAAAAATTGGAGATATCTTAGTTGCCCAAAAGGTTGAGATGGGGAAATGCTAAGTGGTATTGCAAAGTATATATGCATTATATTCACAATAATCATTAAATTTAAAAAATAAAAAACAAAACCAATAGAGTATGATCCCATTTTTGTAAGTGAAAGTTTATATATAGAAAAAAATCTGGAATCAAAACCTCAATCATGGTTATTTCTCTAAATGGTAGGATTTAAAGGTAATTTTTATGTTCTGTGTGTTTACTTGTGCTTTCTAATTTTCTACAATAAATAGGTATTTCTTGTGTGATTACCTTTAAATTAAAAAAATTGTCTCCTTTCTCCATGTTCTAATTTTTTCCCTGTTTAACAAAATGGAAAGAAGCTAAAACACCACACTGTTCCCTTTACCATTTGTACTTACAAGTTGAAACATGTAAAAAACAATTACTTTTATATTGGTGGTATTCATTATGCAATCATGATCATTATAATAACATCTTAAATGGGCACAATAATTGCATTATTTTCTATTTCTGTAATCTTGCAAACAAATTTATGCTCTCAGCTGTCATGTGTTATTATTCCTACTTCTCAGATGAGGTAACTGAGGAATGGAGATACCAAGAATGAGATGCAAGTTCCCTTCCAATATGCATGCTCAGGAACCAGTGTTCTTAGCCAGTGTTTTAGTGCCACAGGCTGCCTAGGTCAATTAGACTCACTTACCACCAACCGAATATCTTTTATCTCCCCGATCCCAACATTGATTTTCTTCTTCTCATTCACAGGCAGCCGGATATTTAGAAGATAGTACTTATGAGCCACAGATCCAATTTCCATGAAAGGAAGAACATCACATTCATAGTAACGGCCCTCATGCTCTGAAGTCTAGAAGAATAACAGAGAGTTTCAGGCAGGGCCACTAATTCCAACAAAGTCTGAATTATCTTACCTTTGCCTACTATCGCCAATGCTAAATAGCTAATGCTTAAAGGTATACTTTAGAGGTACAGATAATAAGGCACACTGGAGGCAATGGTATCCATTGGCTGCCTCACCCCTTGGCAAAAAAAGAAACACCAGCCACATATGAGGTAGAACCAGAAGTGTTAGGTAAAAAGCAGAAATCTCTTCTATCTCTTTACACTTTACACTTCAATCTTCATTTAAGCCTCACATCAGATTAACCTGATCTACCAGGACTGCAGGTTTAGTATTTGCAGCATATCATTGGAGACCTGTAGGGCTCTGTGGAACAGTCAACTTCTTAAATGTTCAGGAGGAAACTCTTGCTGACGTTCTTCATAGTCTTTGATGATGGCTAATTACTTGTATGGTTTTGGCCAGCAGGATATGTTGCAAGAAGCTACTTTTTATTGATTTGTCAGAAAAAGAAGAAACTCCAGGAGCCCTTGGAATTTGGAGAAGACAGAAAGGAATGAAAGGTGATAATGGGATTAGTTTGTTAGAGGAGGCCCTCTTGAAATTTTCTGCCTCCAAAGCTTCTTAACTGCTTAAGAGGCAAGATGGCAGAAGGGAGCAAAAATTTTAATTAAACAAAAATTAATCCATTTCTGAAAAAGCTTCTTGGACTTCCTGGCAAACAATTAAAGAAGTACTGCCCAGAGTATGGCAGTAGGAGATTGGAGAGTAGAGGTATAGGTTGCTTTTGAAAACTAAATTCTGCTCTCCAGTTACCAAAGCTCCTGGCTGTGTGTCCCTGTTAGAGGAGGGTTAGGGAGATAAATATGGGCTTGTACAGGCATGAGCTTTAGCAGCCTTCGGCTTTTCCCTGATGAAAGGGTTTATATGCTAGCTTCAATGTTTACCGGGTATACACCTCCTAATCAAGTGATAGGGGAGACCTAATTTGTTATTCCTAAACCTGAATACTCAGAACTTCTATAATCTTTTTGTTAATCTTCAGAGTAATAACTCTAGTGTGTAACTGCAAATCTTCACTGCTTCAAAATGATTTCTCTTTCTCCTTGATTCAAACTGGCCTTGGGCTCACTTGCTTCTTTTCTTTCCTTATTCTTCTGCATTCTGCATGACCACTCCCTTAATCATTAAGCCCTTAGGTCAGCATCAAACAGTTTTAGGAACAAAGGCCCAGGTCAGCTAACCACAGAAAGAGAATTTTTCTGTCAAACTAAAGGTAACATATTGCATCTTGCAGCTACACTTCCACGAAAGTGGAAAGACCCTACCAGAATCCCCTTAAAACCAGAAAGAACAATGCCATGACTGACATTGGGACCTGATACAATGATCAATTGCTTCCTACCCTAGCCCTGACCAATCAATAGAGCCCAAGACCCCAACTCCTTCAGCTACTAATGAGTTTCCCCCTATATAACCTATCCCTAGAGGCCATTTGGGAGCCAGGTCTTTGAGTGCTAGCTCACCTGTGTCTCTGGGCTTGGCGCCATTTCCCTAAATAAACCTCTCCTTTCTTTGCTGCAAACTCCGGTCCATGCCTCTTTTGGCTTTGACACGTGCAAGCCAAATGAACCTCTTATACTCAGTAACAAATCGAGCAATCAGAAGGAAGATAACAAGGAGTCTATATAGTCTAACTACTGTATGAAGGGTCTTCTGCTCATTCAACGATCTTGAAGAGTTCTTTATTAGAAAGTCAGAACTTAGAGTACAATAAACAGACCATTGTATAGAGATAAGAGACACATACGACGAAAGTAGAGGTAGAGCAAGTAAATATCTGGCTTATATGTTTCTTTTACTCTTGCATTCCCTACTCATGGCAGACATCACTAACCAATCATGATAGTTTTTTATTCTCTAACATTTGAGGGGCTCTTATCAGAGCTACTGGTTAATTAGAATTGGCTTGTGAGATTGAAAAAATTCCTCTGTAGAAAGAATCTGCCTCTTCCAAACTTCAGCTGCAGGCTTGGTTGATTCCTCCTGTATAGGTGGTCTTTCTCTCCTCTCTGCTCCTTTCTCTCTTATACTTAAAAGTCAGGGCTGATATTAGGCCTCTGAAGAAACTACTGAAAATACATTACAGGCTCTAATTCAGCCTCAGATTAAGCTGTACTAAGGAGGCTAATCACGCCTGTGGTAATGGTAAGAAGAGAGTTTTCTGATGTTTCTAGTCAGTCTTATTTCTATAAATTGACAGTTTAAGGGGGAAGGGAACAAAATCTATTTAGTCTAATGCCACTGACTTAATTATGCATCTCATCCATAGTCTCAAAAGTACTAAGTAGTAGTATTGGGTTCAGGGCACGAGTCTTCCAAGTCCAGCCTCCAGCTCTGATGGGGAAGAGCATACTTGAATGCAGCAGGAACTGTTGTAGTCGGAAATGCATGAAGAGAGGCATTGTTCTGTGATAAGGAGGACACTGAACTTCAAGCCAGGAGACCTAGAGTCTTATCTTGACCTTGCTCCTTGTTGGGTACCTTGTGAAGGTTACCCACATCATTTGGCCTCACTTTCCTCCTAAGTAAAACAAGAAAGTTAAATAAGATAATCTCCAGGGTTTCTTCTAGTTCCCTGTCATGGGTCTTTGGGTGTCCTCTACTTCCGTTTCTCTATAGAGAGAGTAACATTACCAACCCATGAGACAAATGTATCTAAGTTCAACAAATCAGACACACTGAATTCTGGGATCTGGGCCCAGCCTACCTGTCTCGAAGACAAATTCGCTGTATTCTGTTGGGGACTTTTTTTATGCACTGAAGTTCTACTTCTGCATATATTTAGAGCAGTTAGGGAAAAAGACACTCCTCCACCTTTCTTTGCTTCCTCCCATCTCCCTCATCCCTCCCCCAACTCCAGCATGAGACTGACTAATTAGGACAAATTACAGCAGGTGGCAACTTGACTTTTTTTTTTAACTTCACAATCCACCAGGGACTAAAAAGCTTTAAAGCAATTTCTCATTTAATCTTCAGACTCAAGACTAAATTTCACTGCAATCAGAAAGCATAGATTAGATGATTCACTTCCTTCACACTTCTCAAGGTTTAATATCTTTCTTGAAAGGGATCAACACATCCTAAAGATAATTAAGCAACCATCATTAAGGAGCAGTTACGGGCTTCTTAATGACCTTCCCCTCACTCGCTTCTCAGAGCCTTCTAAGTGTGTAAGTAATGTGAGAAATGATTTTTCCCTTTTCTGAGGATGAAATTCCATATCCCAAAGCTTTATATCCTTTAGCTTAGATATCCAAACAGTTTCGCTGTGGAAAGATGCAAAATCAACTTGCAGCGACAGCTGGACGGTTTTAATTTAATTTTCTCTGTTGCATACAAAGCTCTGAAAATGTTAGCTACTCCTCTCTCCTGCTACCTCCAGTTTCTCTCTACCATTCGTTTTTACTTACTGATTGCCCCACTCTAAGAGCTTACCCTAAACAATTCCAAATGGCTTTTTTGTTGAAGAGGGGCTATATTTAATATTCAGCAAAGGGTCTGGGGCAGTGGCTCTCCAACTTTATCCAGCTTAAGAGAAAGACTTGAAATTCTGTTAAACACAGACTCCTTGGCCCTGCACCGTGAGATTTTGATTCAGTAGGTTGAGGTATGACCTGAACATCTGCATTTCCTACAAGCTCTCAAGTGATGCTAAAGCTTTTGGTCCTTAGACCATACTTTCTGTAGCTCTGGTCTAGGGAACCTGGGAAGGGAGATATAACACCAGGTGCCCCAACAGGTGCTTATGTATGGGATGTACGAATTGCCCATGAGAGTCCTGGTGGCCCATTTGGTGAACCTCTTCTTTCATTCTCAAACATGTCCCAGACTAGATGTTAAATGATAAGGTCACCCTACTTATGCCTATCATTTCATAAAGACTCCCATGGTAGGGAGTCTTTCCATGCAGAAGAGAAACTGTAGCTCAGCCAGATTAAGTAAACTTGCCTAACGTCATGCAGAGAATAGGCGATACAGCCTGGAATTGAAGTCAAGTATGTTTTGCTCCAAATCCACACTTTGAACTAATGTCAATGCTGTGAATCTGCCCCACCCTATCTGACCCCTCTTCAGGACAGGATGAAAAGGGCTGGGGCATGGTACTCAGAAGCCTCAACCTGCTATTCTTACCATGTCATAGGGAACCCCAACTTGACAGTTATCGACAAAAGCAAAGTTAGGAAAGGCTAATGCTACGGGAGGAGAGGAAACTAAAGCAAACAATGGAGCGGGCACCACAAAGCTGTCCAAACCCTTCAGGAGCAACTGATCTGAGGATGTCATGTGACAACAGACTCGAGAAAATAACTTAGCAACATTCTTCAGAGAATGTACTTCTGTGCAGTTTGGCCTCTCATGAGCTTCACACAAAGAAAACAAGACCGTTTCTGTGCCAGAAGGAACGTCAGAGATCACCTAGCTCATAGCACTCCATGTCAGTCCCTGAGGGATGTGAGTAACCACAAGCAGTAAGAATGGCTCCATTTCCCCTTCACAGAGATGTTCAAGAGCGGGTAGGTAAACAGAGTTGGGGATGAGAATGTCAGGGAGGCAAGTATGAGGGTAGCACCTGGCTTTTGAAAAGGGCCCCGAGATAATTGATCCTTGAACCATCAAATCTCACTACGTTCTGAGGGTCACTGAGTCAATCCTTACATTCCTATTTATAAGGAATCTAAGGCTTTTGCCCCAAAGAAAAGGTCTCCCTATTTTCAGTGCAGGATGATAACCTCCCTCCTATGGGTGGCTGAATAAGTCCTCCTAGAAGAATAAGTGAGAGGAGACTCTTAAAGATGGCTTAGAAGACTGAGGCTCCAAATACAACTAGATTTTTTCGGGTCTTCTTTTTGTCCGTGGTATCAGCAGGACTTTTAGTTTTCATACCTGTACATTAGCTTTGACAACAAAGAGATGGCTAAGAAACAAAGAAGTAGACACCAGCATTGATCTAATATGAACAGATTCTCACCTCTCAAAATAACTTAGCAACATTCTTCAGACACATTCAGCTATTAACCAAAGAACAGGAGTTTATTTTTAAAGAGATATTTTAGAGGAACAACTAAATCATTCCCTCTTCCGTTTTTTCCCTCTTTTGCAGGGACATGAACATATCTACATGGCCCTTTTCTCTACAATACGAAGGACAGTGTGAGTCATGTATGCTGAGAAATAAGGAACACGTCTGTTAATTGTAAAGGCAATCTTCCCACATACCGGGAACCCAAATAAGAACTCCATCAACATTGCCATCAAGGACTCCTACCTTGGGGGATGTAAAGGTACATTTGAGTTTCCGGGGCACTCTCTCATGGGCCATTTCAGTCCACTCGGCAAACGTATCATCACGGTAAGCCAGGGAAACATCCATGGAAACCTCTGCGTTTTCTCCTGCAAGAGAAAGGACTCCCAACTGAGAAATGGCTTCTGGGACGATACTCTTAGAAACAGTTTAAAAATTCTTATACTCTCCACCATAGAAAACAACAAGACAAAAAGAATAATATTAGTACCTTTCAAAGTCCAAATCCGAAACTCCAAACCTGACGACTTAAAATTTGTAAGATGAATGTCTATCTGGATGCTGGGTCCCCTCCTATAACTGCTCTGTCACGGAGTCAAAAACTTTCACTTAAACTCCTGCAGAGGCAGCTCGGATGGTCAGATTCTGGCCCATGGCCAACACTTATCCTTCTATAACTTGCATCACTGGTCCTGGGTCTGACCACAGGAGTCACATGAAAGATGAGGTCCTTCTTCTACAAAAAGTGCCGTAGGTACTGAAACCTATACCTTACCTGCCTGTGTTTTCCCTTCTCTGAGAAGCATGACCAGGTTTTTCAACCTCTCTCAGAGACGTGATTTAAGTACTTTTGATGCTCTCTTTTGGACACGCTCTAGTCTGAAGTATCTTTCTTAAAATTATCCCTAAGAAGCTCTCAAATATAGGATCCGCTACCTCTCTAAACTCAAAATTCCTTCTTCATATGGTGGGCAATGTAAATCTAAAAGATTTTTTTCCCAAAATTAAAGACTTACACACAGATAGGAATATAATAATGTGCACATAGTTGTACAAATGAATGTTCACACATTCTTCCATATCGGTAAGGACCATGAAGGGTTTAACTCACCACAGAGCTCATTAAGAGGATTAGAGTAATAAAAATTGCTTCTATCTATTTGTCTGTTTTATACTATGTTGAGCAAGTTCAAAAAAAGAGGGTTCCTACTGGGAAATAAAAAAAGCACAGATCACATTTCCATAATGATTAGAGAACAAGCTCCCACTGGAGTTATGAGACTGCACTCAATTCTAGGCTCTGGAACCTAAATGCACACAGGGTACAAGGAGAACAGATAAGGGTAAATGCTGTCTGGAAAATCAGAGCTTTTCTATCCCCTGGCCCAGTGTGGCTTGAAGCTGATCTGACAATGTGGTGAATCCCTGCTTCTCTGAGGAAATCCAGGAAGAGAAAGACATGATGCACAAAAGAAGGGATCTGAGGCCATTCTGATGTAGATGAAATCCTCAGTGAACACTGGAGCCTGCTACTTTATTAGTATTTAAATCCTCAGTCAAACATAGTGAACTGGCTACTTGGGTTCTCTTTCTCTCCCTCCTGAAACTCTATAAAAAGATAGAAAAGAAAAACAAAGGTGATTAAATCACAAGGGGAAAAAATATAGGTAAATGAGCAGACCGGAGATTTCAGCAGATTTCTTACAGATGAAAAATAAAGTAGGGTTTCTTGATAGCAACAGAGACAGGCACAGCCTAAACTCCTACAGAAGGGATATTTGGAAAAGTGAGCCAATGTGTCCAAAAACCCTCAAGAGGCTCAGAATTGGAAAGCTCCAGGTGTTGCAGAAGACAGAGGTGAGGCACGGTGCTGACAGCTGGGTGACTGGGTCGAAGTCTGTGCACAGAATCATTGGACCCCAGTTCTCTTACATTTTCCCATCTCTACACAGTCCGAGGGTAGACTCTGGACTTGAGAACATCAGGAAGTGCAGAGACTTAGGACTGAAAGTGTGGACAAGTCTGTATAAGAAACTAAGGGGTGCCCAGCTTGGCAGAAGCCAACACTTGGAGTTTGTTTGTATATCCTCTTGGTGAGGGGCCAGGAAGGCTACAATTGCTCCTCACTAGGCAGCCTCAGTGGTCAACAGAAAGAACTGGCCAGAGCTCCAGTACTAGATCCCTGCTTCTCTGAGGAAATCCAGGAAGAGAAAGACATGATGCACAAAAGAAGGGATCTTCTGAGGCCATTCTGATGTAGATGAAATCCTCAGTGAACACTGGAGCCTGCTACTTTATTAGTATTTAAATCCTCAGTCAAACATAGTGAACTGGCTACTTGGGTTCTCTTTCTCTCCCTCCTGAAACTCTATAAAAAGATAGAAAAGAAAAACAAAGGTGATTAAATCACAAGGGGAAAAAATATAGGTAAATGAGCAGACCGGAGATTTCAGCAGATTTCTTACAGATGAAAAATAAAGTAGGGTTTCTTGATAGCAACAGAGACAGGCACAGCCTAAACTCCTACAGAAGGGATATTTGGAAAAGTGAGCCAATGTGTCCAAAAACCCTCAAGAGGCTCAGAATTGGAAAGCTCCAGGTGTTGCAGAAGACAGAGGTGAGGCACGGTGCTGACAGCTGGGTGACTGGGTCGAAGTCTGTGCACAGAATCATTGGACCCCAGTTCTCTTACATTTTCCCATCTCCACACAGTCCGAGGGGAGACTCTGGACTTGAGAACATCAGGAAGTGCAGAGACCTAGGACTGAAAGTGTGGACAAGTCTGTATAAGAAACTAAGGGGTGCCCAGCTTGGCAGAAGCCAACACTTGGAGTTTGTTTGTATATCCTCTTGGTGAGGGGCCAGGAAGGCTACAATTGCTCCTCACTAGGCAGCCTCAGTGGTCAACAGAAAGAACTGGCCAGAGCTCCAGTACTAGGCACCAAGGGACATCTTTTTTATTTCTAACACTGAGATTAGGAATTGGGACTGTCAACTCCACTGAAAGGTCACTTGCAGAACCATACAATTCAAGAATACAAATCTGTAAAGCTATAAATTATCGGTCCTCATATTATGCTCCTAGGAGCACTAGCATTCAGAACAGCACAGACTTAGCCACAGGTAGGAGGGGCTCTTAATATGAGCCCTACAGTTTTAAAGGGTCCCACTCTATCTGCCCTTTTCCAGCTGTCCCCTTCCTCATAGTGACATGCCCACCCAGAGCCTAACTCCTCTCCCAACTCCTAGACCATGTTCCAAAAACTCAGGACCCCAGAATACTCTACCCAGACAACTCTGAGCCTACTTCCATGGCCTGGGGGGTGCCTCTTCCCCAGATCTGGCCTCCCAAGGGGAACTACACAAGCACTTGTGTACCCTTTTGCTCAGGAGTGGTCAAAGGCAGCTGTTTGTTAGAAGCTATGAACAGAGATTGGGCTTGGAGGTTGGGGTGTCCACACACAAGCACAAAAGTCTCCTCTCTGTATAAGACAAAGCCAGAGATGGGGAGAAATGGTATCTAAGATCAGTCACAATTTGGCACAGAATTCCAAGGGGTCCCAGAATCTTAAATTCAAACCTGCCCTTCCAGTTCATTATAAAGGTAAATGTGTTAAAATCAGATGATAGAATTTATTTAGCTTAACAATTTGCTGGACTTATTAATAACTTTTAAATATTTAGACATGTGGCAGCCATACCTTCATAGGTGCTCTTGCCCTGGGCCCCACAGGTGTTAGGGGTGGGCCTGGTTCACAGCAAAGGCCTCGGGAACCGAGAAGATAAGATAGGCTTGCCTCCTAGCCCACTCCCAGCTTTAAGAGTTATTCCCGTCTGTTGGGAATCCCTAAACTGTTTTTAAAATATGCTGTTAAAAACAAACAAAAATTTAAAACAGTTTTCATGTATAACTATTCTATATGAAGCCCCAGTGACTTCTAGGCATTCATTCAAAAGACCTCATTTAGTTTCCCCAATAGCTCTGTCAGTGGGCATGGACATTTCCTTTTTTTAAGAAAGTAAATTAAAGTTCTTAGATACTAAGTAACTTGTCTAAAGTCATATTGTTGGTGATATGAGAGAGGTAACTTTTTAAAAGACAATCATCTTTTTTACATTGCTTAAAAAAAAACTGGCCAACTTATGATGAAAGAAGTTCCTCAAACTAGTCATAAAACATGGAGAAATAAGTTTTTAATAAAAACAAAAGCTCTGTGTAAATATTTTCTCCTTCAGCCCTCATATCCATCTGATGAAGAAGTTCTATAAACTGCCCAAGAATAGGTGTCTAAGAATATACAGTAATATACTATAGTAAGAGAATGCATTAAAATTTGTTTTAATAATAGAATGGTAGAGCTGGGACTTAAACCTTAAGTCCCATTAACTCCAGAGGACCATTAACCTTAGTTGGTAGAAAACAGCAGAATTCAAAAGAAACAACAATTGAATCAAGCACACTGTGTGCAAGAGGCCATTCAACCTTGACCAAACACCCTTCACAGCTTTCTATAGGATGGAAGTATGCAGCGTTCTTAGTAGGCGGCAAGCGTGGCTAATAATATGTATGGAATTTCCTAAGCTTGAGCTTTGATGGTAAGAACTGCTGAAACCTACACAGCACTACTTCAGAAAACCGACTGGAGAAGTGTGATGCAATCCAAACAGTGTGCTCAGGGACAGGCTGGGTGGGGATAGGGGAACAAGCCCCGACTGCTTTAGCTCCAGCCTATAGCCATCATGGGGCAATACAGATTGTTCTTACCAGATGTGCTTTTTTCAAGAAAAGCCAGAAAGTCAGATTGGTATGAAACATCTCTCAATTTTTAAATGTCAGTAACTAATTCACTAAAAGCAAAAACTAAACTCAAACAAAGCAAAATCTCTATGCAGGTCAGCTAATAAAACACCACATGGCCTGAGTCACTCTGTGGAGGGGACATTTACATACTGCCCTGCCCCCACACCACCATTCTTTTCTTTCCATTCTACCAGTAAGTAAAATTCCCTCTTAAGCTTTCTGTCATTGTTCATGAACTTTAGCACATGTTCTGCCTCATCCTCACACATCTCCTCCTTATTTCCTATGTATTTGTTTGAGGCAGGTATTACCATTCCCGGTTGTGACCTGGAGAAGTCAAGGTGGAAAGTCCCACCCATAGAAAGACCAGACTCAAGCTTCTAGAGCTTCATGGCCTACAGTCCTATAATCTTTGGCTGTCTTCTGTGATCACTAAGTTGGTTTACTGCATCAAAAATGCTTAGGACAGTGCAGAAAGCAAAAAGCATTAGCTATTGTTCTTATCATTTTATTAGGGAAGTGTAACACTCATACCTACCTTTAACCCAAAATAATTGCCCAGTTTCA